ACTCCAGGAGGCTGGAAGAAATCCTAACAACCCCAACTCAGAACATTTACTTCAAGTAGCCTTTTTCCAGTTTCCAACTCATGAATAAAGATAATATTTTGTTAATTCTATTTCAGAAAACTTTTTGCAAGTTGTTTTATTTACAACGCCAACTTTTAAAAGCTCACTAAAGTTAACTGGACAATAAACTAGGCAGAAATTGCTTTACAAAAGGAGGGAAAGCCCAAAATGCCACTTTCTACAGAGAACCCACAGTTCAGTTTTATTCAGAGTAAAGAAAAAAAGAAACTTTCTCTCACACTAAAAGAAATTCAGCCATAGGTTTGGAGTCTGTACTCAAACTACACATGCAATAAGGACAATATTATGCTAATACAATTGATTTGCTGCTGCATTTGTCTACTGTTTGTCTAATATTAACAATTATAAACAGAGCAGTGCAACTAGTATTTGGAACAATCCTTATAGTGTTACAGTGTCAGGTACAACATTTCACTTCTCTTCACACCACTGGTTCTCTTTGCGTACCTGGGCTTCCTCCTCTTCAGTAAAGTCATTTTTTATATTGAAGGTTTTGTGAATCTCTTCAGGAGTTTTCCCCTTGATCATATTGGCAACAGTCTTGCACGTAACATCAAGCAAACTTTTGATGTCTAAGTAGTTTGCAGCCAGAATAAGTTCAAAAAGTGTTCCTTGGTCAACTTTCAGGAATTCTTGGTCCCAAACAGGGATATCGTCTGTTTGCTTTTCTTTGTTCTCATCATCCTCAGGAGGAGGGGGGTCATCCTTGTGGTGCGTGCACCACTGAATGACCTTTTTTAATATTGCTGCATTAACATTTGGTAGAGGAACTGGGTCATCATCTCCTTCATCATCCATTCCCAAATCTGCCTTTAGAGATATCTGGATTGCTTTCATATTCTTTATTAGTGACCATACCATAATTCTTCATTTAACAGGTACTTGATGAACAGTGACTGTGGGATGTACCAAGAGGTTTATAAACCTTGCAACATGGTCTTGATTGTCACAGATTGTTTGGCAATTTCTACGTCAACTTCAAATATCTCCCCATCAGAACTCTGCAACTTAATTGAAGGCATGGTGTTTGGTCTCAAGAAAAACGGCGGTCCGGAGGCTGAAGGGAGTGGGACAGCGACCACACGAGGAAATAAAAAGGTGTTGGACAAGGCCACTCCCTAATTGTAGATTAGTTTTATCTTTGTCTTCACCGGCACCGAAGATAGGAATTCTGGCAATAATGGCTAAAGAAAAAATTGTGTAACATTCCAGAAGGCACTAAAAGAAAACAATTTTCTTAACAATTTACATTATCTTCACTGGCACTGGGATGAAGATAG